GTGTCTCCCTCTCTCTCTGCCCCTCCCCATATTTGTGCGCACGCGCTCTCTCTCTGTCTCTCTCAAATATAAATAAATAAACGAAACCAACAAAGAAGTACAGGTGACAATCTGAGACTTGCACCTGAAGTGGGGGACAGTCTTGCAGGACGGGGGCCCCTCACCTGTGGGACCTGACACTGACTCCAGGCAGCTAGCGTCAGACTCGGTTAAGGGGCGGCCACCCAGCTGGCGTCGGAGAACTGCCTGAGGTGTAGCAAACCCACACACCTCTGGTGTCTGTGGTATCGTCCAGGAAGAGTGTGGGATCAAGGAGAAACACACAGGAGTGTGTTTCTCCAACTCACTGATCCTGCGTCAGAATGTCTGGCACCACTGGGCTGGCCCAGGCTGCCCGCCCCGGTGTCACACAAGGGGACAGCACGGGGGGGAGCGCTAACGCAGCTGACCACCCCACACACAGGGCCAGCCCCAGCTCTTCCCAGTGGCCAGCACTCTCTCAGGCAGCTCGCAGCCCTCCTGCCAATGTCCGCCTGCCCCTCGGAGGTGGCCATCTGCCCGTCGCCTGCCAGAGTGACTGTGACGCAGGGGCCCTGCCGTCTGCCCGCGTCCTCCCCCGTGGCTAGTGCAGTGACCGCCAGGACCCACGTGCTCCATCCACAAAAGGTTGCCGGGATGAAAAATCCCTAAGCTCTAAGTCCTGGCTGTGGCTCAAGCACTGCCCCGAGGGGCCTCAGTTTACCCCTCTGGCCTCAAAGACCTACCCAACTCCCACTTTCCAGGATGCCTTCACCTCCCCAACTGTGATGGGCTCAACTGTGTCCCTGCCCCCCAATCACATGCTGAAACCTTAACCCCTAGGACCTCAGGATGTGATCTATTTGGAGCCAAGATCTTTACAGAGGTAATTATGTTACAATGAGGTCATGAGGTGGGGCCTCATCTGGTGTGACTGGTATCCTTATAAGAGGAAATTGGGACACAGACCACCACAGAGGGAAGGCCACATGAAGACACGGGGAGAAGAGGGCCATCCACGAGGAACGCTGGGAACAGAGCCTTCCCTCGTGGCCCGCAGAAGCCAACCCTGTTGACATCATGACCTTGGACCTCCAGCCTCCAGCACTGTGACAAAATGCATTTCTGTTGTTTAAGCCACTCAGTGTGTGGTACCTTGTTATGGCGGCCAGGGCAGACTGATACTCCCACCATCTGTATCCTCAGCATCCTTATCCCTCTGAATGAGCTCTTCTGTGCCAGCGAATGAATGAATCAATGAATGAATGAATGATGAATTAGTTCTAGGGTTACCTATGTTATTAACTCACTATACACTCTCCACAGCTCTGTGAGGCTTGGTTCTATTTTTATTTAAAAACATTTTTTTTTAAGTTTGTTTATTTTTCAGAGAGATACAGAGAGAAAACACAAGCAGGGGAGGGGCAGAGACAGAGGGGGACAGAGGATCTGAAACGGGCTCCATGCTGAGAGGAGTGGAGAGCCCGACGCAGGGCTTGAACCCACGAACCATGAGATCACGACCTGAACCGAGCTTGGACGCTTAACCCAATGAGCCACCCAGGCACCCCATGGTTCTACTTTTATACCGATTTCTCGCAGCATGAGAATTAAGATCAGAGAGATTAAGCAGCAAACCCGAGGTCACACAGTGAACAGGAGGCCGACGCAGAGTGTCAACCCAGGCTCTTGATGCTATTCTAGAAGCTTCAGCCAATGGCTTGTCTTTGAAAATAATAATAATGCTCCACCTTACTAAATGCACAGCACTGGGCTAAGCATACATGGCGTCATGGACTGGATGCTTGTGTCCCCAAAGATTCACATGCTGAAGCCCTACCCCAGCCCCCGTGTGATGGTATTTGCAGGTGGGACCTTTGGGGGGAAATTAGGGTTGGATGAGCTCATGAAGGTGAGGCCCTCAGGATGGGATCGGGGTCCTTAAAAAAAGAGGAAGAGGAGAAGAGCACAGGGAAAAGGTCATCTACAAGCCAGGAAGACAGCCCTCGCCAGGAACTGAATGGGCTAGCACCTCGGCCTTGGACTTCTCAGCCTCCAAACTGCAAGAAATCAATGTCTTTTAGGCCACTCCATCTGTGGTGTTCTGCTTTGGCTGCCTGAGCGGAGACATGGGGCCGGCCCCCCATAAGTCTCACAACACAGTTCCTAGGTGGCCACCACCACCCCACTTGACAGACAAGTGCAGAGGTATTGGTTACTACCTAGCCAAGGGCATCAGAAAATCCAGGGTCACCTTGCTGAGGTTTGTATGCTGGTCAATCTGACTCCAAGGGGAGCCTCTACCCACCACACTCTGCCCCAGAAACAGGAGTCAGATGTACTGCCTGCGACTGCCGGCCTCAGGGACATGACAGAAGACACAATCCCTTCCTTTTCCTCTCCCTCTCTCCAGAAGGCCTGGAGGACCCCATAATCACTGCAAGTGGTGGATAACAGCACTGATGCGTTTATTCCACATCTCAGCACGAGCCAGGGTGGGGTCTGGGGGACTTCTGCTTCTCTGTGTCACAGGATGGCTGGGCCCAGCAAAACTAAGATTCGGAACACAGCTGTAGGCAAAACCACGGGCAGGGGT